GTCGTTGGGATGTTGAAAATACGGCATTGAATACATTCAGACTAAGTTAATTTGCCTGTCTCTTACCCTGATGGATAAAACATGGCATATGGATGTCAGACACTGCCTACTATATGTCAGGCAGTGGAAAAACCAATAAGCAAATACCCATTTTAGACTCAAAGGTGAACAAGATCCAATTCCCTGCTCTTAGGGGGCTCAAAACCAGAGAATACATGTTGTTTTCTGTCTTTTTGTTTTCAACCAAAAATGAAGATAATGTTCTTTTAGATGCCCTGATGGGAGGTGTATATTTTCATTTCATTATAATCAAATCACCCTGCTAACTTCTGTGATGAAAATAGTGTGATCCACTCTAACAAGGGGTTCACAATTTTGTCACTCATGCAGTCAGGCACTGGTGGTAGATAAGGTGGGGTTAGGGTGGAGGCAACGAGAGACCACAACCTGAATTAGAGCTACCCACTGTGCTTAGTGAGAAAATGTGGCACAACCCCAAATTTTTGTTAAATATATATTTAAATCTGTCACTATTTGCTAATTATGTGCCAGATACAATATAATGTACATTAATTCATGCCAATCTCTAAGGAGTTGGCCCCATTTTGATACACAGGGAACTGAAACTCAGAAGCTGAACCATTAAGCAGAAGTGGAATCTGCCTTTGTCCTCAGAATATTCAATCTCCAAAGCTTCCCATATTAACCTTTATATTACACAGGCTTCACAGATAATTTCTGTCTGACAGGGAGAATAAGTTAAACTCCACAGGTGTGACAAACACATGGTAGTTTAGGTAATGTGTAGCCTTCATGAATGAATAAGAAATAATTAACCTCAAGGCAGGCAGTCAAAACATAGGTGTGGCGGCTGAGAGATGAATGGCACAACAGAGGAGGCAAACCTTGAGGATACATGCCACATGTTTCAGTTCTAAAAATGGAGAAAAGGGAAGGGGCAGAGAAGCAAGGGGCACAACCTAGAAGTGCAAAGAACAAGAGGGCAGTGGGCTATGGCTGTTCACAGAGGGAAGGGGGACTGGTGGATGGAACCCAGGTCTCAAGGAGCCTTTGGAATGAGATTCAGGAACTGGGTGAAAGAAACACAAACCCGGGCTGACTCTGATGAGTCAAGCAGGGCTTAGGTGGGCCAGACCTATTTGTGAGCATGAGATGCCTCACACCCTGGGAAAGGAACGCCTTAGAGTCTACAAGGAGAAATGATCAACTTCCTGAACTTTCTGGAAGCATCTCTTGGAACTATTGTAGTTCTTTTCCTGTATTTAAGCAGGTATTCTTTAAAAACCTACTTTGCACTTAGAGTTCCTTTTCTTAAGAAATTATGTACAGTTTTCAGGGTATGTCCATGTGGGTATGTTTTGTTAAGGCATGTATTTCCATTTCCTTGATCTGTACTCTTACTGTTAATTAAAATTCTTGTCAGTACTTTAGTTTGACAACATAAGTTACTTGTTCCAGATGATTGAGTTTATTGGATGTAGTAATGCCTGCTTGGTTTAAATGTGAGGAAGAACTAATTAAAAATGAAACAGAGAGATTTTTTTTAGAAACAGCTTTTGGTTCAAACAACAGATTTTGGCAGTGTATTTAATTGTTTTTGTTTTATTCATGTATCTTTAAAAATTTATGCAATTTTCTTTTCATGTTACAAAAAAAAAAAAGGATTTACAAGGTAGTGTTGCAAGAGATGACTGGACAGACAGGAATGTAACAGGAGTTTTAGGCTGTGGGTGTGCAGGTAACACCATGTCAGTCACTCTCCCACAATTCTAGAAAAGCATTCTTTGCTCTTTCTAATTTGTGTGCCTGTGGATTCTTTTTATGGGAACTTGCAGAAGAATTCAGAGTTTGGGTTGGAGTGGAATGTCAGCAGATGCTTTACGTGCTAGTGCCAGAGAAGCTGATCAGGTGTTGGCATCTGACTTAGGGTTTACTTGCCTACTTGTTGATAGAAGTCACATTCAACTCCCTTTAGTTGAATTCAGTCACTTTATAAAGTATTAATGGAATGCCTTTGGTATGCCAAACGTATGCTCACAAGGTAACAAAAGAGATAGATAGTTACAAAGATGAGACTAAAATATGATGCCTAACCTAGGAGAACCAGTGCATGGGAGAAGCCTTGGAGAGAAGACAGAATATAAGGGCTGAATCTTTAAATGATGAGTGGGAATTGGGGAGTGAATCCTGGAAAGAGGGATAAGCATGTGCAAAATTCCAGAGTCCATGGAAGAGTCTGAGAGTGGGGACCAGTTCTTATGAAAATGTGAATGCAGAGAGCTAAGAATGGAGAGAGAGATGGAAGGTACAGATGTGGTTGTGAGACTCTAAAGCAGTTCTAAGCTGGGAGATGACAAGACTAGAGGGGGCTGGAAAATAGTGTGGGAAGCAGATATAGGAGGTTTGGGAGGAAGAGTTGGTTGAAAAGCATTAACTGGCAGATAAGTATCCATGCTTGTTTGTGATGTTGAGCCTCCTCACTTTCTAACCCCTTGTCTCCACCCCTTATACTACCTGCCCGCATCTTCCTTTGCCTGACTTCTACCATCATTTTGGCTTCTGCTTGTATTTCATTCTCAATGGTGAAAATCTATCAAGCTGTTACCAGCCACCACAGCATGAGTTCAATCTCCAGCCAGGGAGCTAACCTACATGGTGCAGCAGACTTCTCTCTCACTTGCTGCTCCCCTCAACAGTGTATTTCAGTAGATCCACCTGTCCTGCTCCCCACTCTGTCTCTGGTGAATCTGCTTATCTCCCCACCTCTGGCCTACACCCCAGTTCTTATATGCAATAAATAAATAAATAAAACCTCAAAGACATTCTTCAAAGAAATAGAACAAATATTGCTGAAATTCCTATGGAATCACCAAAAAAACAAAAACAAAAAACCCTCAAATAGCAAAAGCTCTCCTGACTGAAAGAAGAATGGAGGTATCACACTTCCAGACTTCAAACTATACTACAAAGCCATAGTAATTAAAACAGTACTGTAATAGAACAAAAACCAGACATGCAGACCAATGGAATTGAATCAAGGAAGTCTTTCTTTTTCACCCAATCTAAATTAATCTAATTTCAGTTTGATTGATATTTTTCTAATATTCTTTTTATATGATATTTTGTCCCCTCTGCTATATCATTTCTTTAAACAGGTATAATTGATTCACTGGTTTCAGATATGCAACATAATGATTTGATATTTGCATATATGCAAAGTGATTACAATAAACCTAGTTAACATACACACCACACATAGTGGTGGTGTTTTCCTTGTTAGAATTTTTAAGATGTACTCTTAGCAACTTTTATATATGTAATACAGTATTATTAACTGTGGGTACAGTACATTATATCCCCAGGGCTTATTTATTTTGTACCTGGAAATCTTTATCTTTTGATCCTCTTAGCTTGTTTCATCTATCTCCCACCAACCCCCCCACCTCTGGTTATCACCGGTCTGTTCTCTGCATCTATGAACTCATTGCTTGTTTTCTAATTTAGATTTTTTTAGACTTCCATATAACTGAGATCACTTGGAGTTTATCTTTCTCTTACTTTATTTAGCATAATGCCCCAAAGATACATCTATGTTATTATAAATAGTGAGATTTCCTTCTTTTTAATGGTTGAAGTGTATATATATGTTGCATGTATATGAGCACCTGTGTGTCTCATATTTTCTCTATTTACTCTTCTTAACAGTCTTAAAGTGTCTTGAAAGGAGGATTTAATTATGTATTTTTTGCTCACTGATGCCTTTCTTAGCATCTAGCAAAAATGGATATTTAATATTTATTAAATATTAATTCGGTGAAAAGACCAATGATGTCTGACTTAGTATTTTCAGTTTCTTTAAAGTGTTTTTTGAAAAGCTTATTTAAATGGTCCCAGAGATGGTTTTCCATCATTCAGGAAACAGCAACAGCAGCAATAAAAAGCAAAAGAGAAAACTTATAAAAAATAACTACAAAAAACATTGTTCTACTTCTTTGGAAATTAGTACATGTCTCTGCAGTAGACAGTCTCATTACCTGAATGTGTAATGGATTTGTAAGATCAGAACATTAATTCTATTTTCTCTTCCTTCTTCTTTGGAGAGGATATACAATTATATTTTCATATATCGAAAGTCCTCAATTAGCAATAGGTTTTAGGAAACTCTACTTATTGAAAGAATGTATAGCAGAAGCAGGTCCTTGATTAACATTGTTTCAATCAATGTAAGCTCATATTTGTTGTGCTTTATAAATTAGCTGAATAAAATTTAAATGAATTAAAATTGACTTTTGTCAACAAGTGAGCAAGAAAATCATGGGATTGTTTTTTTCTCATTAATGTTATAAAGAAATGATGTTGGAAGAATTGATTCAAGGACCTGCTATATCATATATCTGTATACTGTGACTCTTCTATAACCCAATTTTAATTCAGTGTGAATAAAGATGTTATATTGTCAGTTCTATTAAGGATGCTATTGCTTTGCAAATTCTTTCACCAATTGTTTGCTTGGATGCCTAACACAGACACTGACACAAAGTAGGCATTGATAGATGTGTTAATTGAATAGATGCAAAAAAAAGCTTACAGAGATATACAAGTCACACTCTGTTCTTTGAGAAACATAGACTGCAATAGTGAGACAAGCCAAGTGTCAGTTCCTAGACCTTAGGGAATGAAAACCTGGGAGACTTCCACTAATACATGGGAACTTGCACAAATGTGCCAGCCATGTTTTATAGGCAGGTTCTCAAGTAGGATGTTGTCAGAAAGCAGCTTCAAACTATGGCAATATCCAGTGTCTTAAACACGAAACAGCTGGCAAAATAGTGTTTCCTGATTCCTTTGTTTGAAGTCTCACTCTTTACATGTTTCAGGAATACACAGAACTAAGGCATTGTGGCATGGATTAAACAAGAGAAGAAATGTGTTTCTTTTGAAAAGTGCATTAAAAGATATTTTGGATTCACAGAATAGATTCAGCATTTTCCAAAATGCACAAATTTAAGTTTGTTGTCAGTTTTCCTGTGGAAAAAAAAATAACAACGGATGAGAAATACTGATGCCATAGGCATTTGATGAACAACCAACTGCACCAGTGTACTCCCCCAAATGTATTAAGTCCCTCCACTTATTGATATTTTTGAAAGGAATTACTTCAGGTTAGGAATATTTTTGCAACTGGTACTGATTACATAAGAACGATGCTCAGTGGGCCTCCCATGTGGTGCAGGAATTAAAGTCTCAGTGCTATCAAGCTATCACTAGCCACTGTGGCCTGAGTTGGATCTGCCATCCTGGGAGCTGACCCACATGGCACAACAGACCTGTCCTGTCTGGCTCTCAACAGTGTATTTCAGTCGATCTGCCTATTCTGCTCCCCACTCTGTCTCTGGTGACTCCTCTCATCCCCTGTACCTCTGGCTTACACCCCAGTTCTTACATGTATAAATAAATAAAATAAATATTTCTTTTTAAAAAGAGCCATGCTCAAAATGCATCACAACCTTTAGCTTATATTCCTGAAAACATATTTTAATGTATCTTTTAATTTAAAGGAAACATATTTAGGAAACTCTTCATAAAAGGTTATTTTTTTCCCTTTAAATTAAAGAAGAACCAAAACAATATGCCATTGTTTTCATTCATGAGTGTTTTGAAAATACTGAAAAAGGAACTATGTTTCTATAAATTCTTATATATAAACCATCATTTTGTTTTCCAGCTGTCGCTCATAACTCCCATAGAAGATTACTTTGTAATCTTTAATCTTCTTTAGGCTATTTGATTTTCTAAATTCAATCTTTGTTATAGCTTTGGCATGTATTTTGTTACAAAATCATACTCTGAAACAGAACAAGTTCCTTAGGTTTTTCAAGTATCTTATATCAGTCATGGGGGGTGTTAACATATCCAAATTAAGTTGTTGAAGCTGAACTATAAACTGGGCTCATTCTAACAGACATGGACTGGCACACCTAGCAAGAATGCCAGATGCCTTCCTGGTCCCTGAAAATAATGAAACATAGACTGAGAAATGACGTGTGACTTTTATCTAGAGGGAATTTAAGCACAGATTAATAGGTGGTAGTTGAATTAGTTGATCCTTAAGTTTCCTTCCACTTAGACAGTCTAGGATTCTCTTATTCACTCTTACTGCCAGACTATGCCAGATACAAGACACTATAAATCCTGTAAAGTAAAAATTCATTAGGGTTAATGTGAGATGATTCATATATTTCTTATACCCGAAACTACTTCTTCTAGGTATACCTAACATATAATCTTACTTTAAATATAGAAAAGAATCATTTCAATACTTACTCAGTTTCACGACAAAAGAAGCAATCATTGTCATATGTTTTGCCATCAGATCCACAAATGGGTGCATATATTTCAATACAAAATTTCGGTTCATGTGGTAATGTTTTATATTTACTGCAGTCAATCTGAAAATGCATATCAAAAACCTTCAATTGCTTTGGTCAAATCATTTTTCCCAGGATTTAGGATTTTCTCAACAAATTCAGAAGGTTCTCAGTGCATTTGTTTCTTATTCAGTTGTCTATCTTTGAGATGTATCAGTTTTAAAGACTTTTTATATCAAATATAAAATCACAAGTGATAAACTTCTTTATAGCTGGTAAACAGTGCATAACTTATTTAGAAGTAGAATATTGTGCCCTATATGGGTTCATGCCTCTGTTCTCAGTACACACGGCATGCCCACCATGCAATCACCCCAAAGGAGCACTCAGATGTAAGACCAGCTTTTTAACATGTCCTTTTATTTCTCTCTTTTACTTAAAAAGTTTTATCTGAATGCAATTGTGAGGTGTATTCTAGGGGTAACTTCTATAGTTCTAAAAACTAGTATACCATTGGCAACTTTTACCATTAATTACTGATAATAAATTACTAGTTATACACTTCACCAGCACATAGACAAAACTATCTTGACATTATAATTGACAACCTCTATTCTAAATTTCTGGAGCAAAGTCAAGATGATGAGCTGCCTGTAGGAACAAATAGACAATTACCAAGAAAGAACTTTCTGGGTTTTTCATCTATGAGCCAATTGAAGGTTGTGGACAGTAAAGTCAAACACATTGGAATTTAAATCCTGACTGTATAACCCTAAGATAATTATTTCTCTAAGCCTTAGTTTCTTTTCTGCAAAATGTTGATGACAACATCTTCCTTACAAAGTTAAAGAAAACCTATGTAACTGAGAAGACATGCATAAAAAGCTTAGCATTATATGGCATGGAAATATGAATAAATAACATTATTATTTTAATTCCTTGGCTTTACTTTCAGAACCACACTATCCATGTATAAGCAAAAGAGTTTATATTTCCAGCTCTTTGTCCCAGAGTTCCAGATATCATATTTTACCAGTTGATTAATTTCTTTGCTTGGATAGCCTGAAACATGCTCAGACTTAAAGATGAATTCATCTCCCCTTCACATATGCTTCATTCCTTCATTCATTTCTTCCTGAAGTTACTATACCCCATGGGTTTTCTAAGTTTTAGGACTGAGCTAAATGCTGGCAATATAAAGACTAGCAAAGGGGCATAACATCAGAAAGACCTCAGAGGCTCGTGGTGCCCAATAGCAATTGCAGTGCTCTGTATGCTTATATACCAACATGGTTTCACTTCTCTCCTTGCCTGCTCAAATCCTGGTACCAGGACTTGTGAAATATACTCATTGTGACCAGGAAACTACCAAGGCTTAATACCCACCAGCCTTTCCTTTCTCACCCTGATGCTAATTCATGTAATTGAAATTGAAATCAGGCCTGTCTGCTTCCAAATTAGTATTTTTAACCCTATTGTTTCCTTTAAAAGTTACAACAAAAGAATCATATAGGTGAAAGGAGCTGCCCAGCTCCCAGGGTCACACAACTGAAAAGCCAGTAGAACATGTATTATAACCCAAATTCTCTGGTTGCCGGTTGAAAGCCTTTAGCACCACACCTAGATTTACTCAATAAATAGTAGTCATAAAGAAATAATCCTTACCAAATATGAATCATGAAGGAAAGGCTATGTTAAAACTTCATTCTCTAAGCTAGAGAACAAAAATATGTGTGATCCATTTAAAAGTGATAAGCATCATGACTTGTCTTACCAAGATTTACTATGTACCCTTTTCAAACCAATGGCCTTAAGTTTCACAACAATCTATGAAACATGTTCTACTGCCCATGGTCACAAATCAAAGAGCTGGCATCCAAGCCCAAATATGATGCCAGTTGTCTGACCACTTTGTTCTACTACTTCCATATCAGCAAATCCTTTCTACGGTTTTTGAGGAAAAACCCATTTTGTTACTCAAAAACATAAAATTTGAAACATAAAAATTAATTCATATAGAGTATCAAATATGATTTACTGATTCTAACTTTAACCTTATATAAATTATGCTTGTGGAAGTAACTTTAGTTAGATTCCATTTAGTTATGGAAGCAAAATTATCCAGAAAGACAAATATTGCATGATTTCACAAATATAGGTAACATAAGGAAACAAAGCAGATGAACTGATAAAGCAAAATAAAAATAAGCTGGTGGGTATTGATAACTGAACTAAGGTTACCAGTGGTTAGGAGGGAGGGGAGAAGAAATAAAAGGTTAAGGGGGTGTCAGGAATGGTGCTGCCTACTTTGTCTTTGCCCTTTTTTTCTTATCAGAAATAAAGTATAATATATGACTATAATATATAAAACTTTAAAGTCATAAGAAGAACAAGTTGGAACGAAGTCAGATAGCTGTAATTAAAAAAAAAGACAAAATTACATAAAAGTAGAACTTTATATAAAGATATATGTGCTGACCTTTCTGTGTATGGCACCATCTACATCTGGAAGAAAAACAAAGTTAAGGGGAAATTAAACACTGGAATAACTTCATCTTATTAAAAAGTAATCCAATTTATATTTCAACTATCACCTGCCATAAAAATTATAGAAGTCTCCAGAGTTGCATATCAGCATTATATCAAAAGTTGAGGAGTTTGTTTTATTCTTTCTTTTCTCATAATTAGAGTTTAGGATATATTGGGGAGAAAAACAAGTGTGTTTTACTTTTAGGGGGTGTCTGCTGTTGAGTAGCAGGCATAGATGGCAGAAGGTGGACCAGAGGTTGGAAATTCCAAGGTGGTAGATTTTAACTCAATAATGGAATGATAATAATAGTTCATCATGCCAAATAATGGATTGGACTGTTTTATGAAAAAAAGGAGGTCCCCATAAATGGTTATGTATAGTCAAAGCAAAATCTGGACCACCACTTCTCAAAGAAATTTCTCAGAGTGTTTATGTGGGCAAGAATTTAGTCTTAGCTGAATATTTGGGTCCACTCAACCCCTAAAGTCATATGAATTAGTGCTGTTTACTAGTAGAGACTAGAAACTACACTTATAAAGCATTCCTTAATATCTATGTGATGAAGGGCCTCCTTGGTGGCACAAGGGGTTAAGACGCAGCACTACTATGACACTATCCGCAGCCACTGCAGCACAAGTTTGATCCCTGGCCAGGGAAGTGACCCACATGGCACAGCAGACCTCTTCTGTCTTTCCTGCTTCTCCCCTCAGCAGTGTATTTCTGTAGATATGCCTGTTCTTCTCCCAACTCTGTCTCTGGTGAATCCTCTCACCCCCCACATCTATGGCTTGCACCCTAGCTCTTGTATGCATAAATAAATAAAGCTTTAAAAAAATCTATGTGTTGATTTTTGTAGCCCAGAATGTTGTAGACAGAAGATGGCATGAGCTCTCAGAGCAGGGCCATTTATAAGGGAGATACTTACTGAAGATGGTCGCAAGTGCCAGACTCACAAGGAGGACAAAGGTGGTTGCTCTCATGATGCTCAAGTGACCGAGTTTTGTCAGACGAACAAAGGAAGTGGCTTTCCGGTGTCTGCCCCAGCCATGTGAGTCCTGCTTTATATACTGTCAAGAGTTCCTGCTTAATTTGTGAAATAGCTATTTCTAGAAACACAGTCCTGGGAAATGCAAAACATATAATAGGTATGGGAATTCTTTGATTGTGAAAGACATGGTTGCATGTGACATTTGAATAAATAACAGACCCAATAAAGCTGGCTTTATTTCTTTACCTCTTTATATTATTAATATTTTGAATGCTTTCACATCTGTATTCTTTGATCTTAACAAGTTTATTAGAGTTAGTATTATTTTCTTTGTTTTACAGATGAAAAAGTGAAGTCATACAAGGAAGTTAAGGTAGTGTACTGGGTTTACTGCATATTCTTGGTTGCATTGCTTTTTTCCAGAAATAATCATCAACATGGCAATTTTATAGGTTTTGACTCTTTTCCAGATTCCCCTATTTCATCCTCTCTTTTTCATCATCCATTGGGAAATGTTGCCATTTGAGATCCCAGACTGGGCACAGAGCAGAGATATCTATACTAAGTTCTTGGTTCAGCAGAAACAATGATCCAGACACTTTAGCAGGGGGATGATTTTCAAAAAATGCCAAATTTGTCAAAATGGTTCAAAGGGTAGAGCTCATGAGCAACCCACCTCATTTAGCTGCCACATCTCTGATAGACTCTTCTTTATCAAAGGCTCTTCAGAGAAGGGCCTCTGGAAAGCCAATAGTAAAGAGCTATGTGGTCACTTGAACCCAGAGTGGATCTAGTGGCTGCCTAAAGCTTTGACATAATTCCCTAGTCCCCTTACATAGACTGATAGTTCAAGAGTGAGTTGTTAACTTTGCCCTCAACCATAGATGACATGGAAGTCACATGACCAATGGCATCTTCCACTAATGCAATAGCTTTCAATACATGAGCCACCAGCCATTTAGCTGTGGTTTAAATAAGTTTAATTGTGTCTTCGTGAAGTGATATTTTATTTGGAATCTTTGGTAAAGACTACAAGAACACTTATTTTGTAATATACTAACGTCTAAATAAACAACTCTACAAGAAGGCCTTGAAAGCAACTCTTACAGTTTTGGTAGATAAAGTTGGAAGACACTGCCTACACCACCAATGGAAGCAGTACCATAGGCTGAGAGACATATTCATATTTATTTCTCTTCAAAAGGATAAAGACAGCAGGAATTTGTGTTGAAGTAGTCTTGGAAGTAGGCATCAAAATATTACTGAGAGTTGAAAGTCTGGGAGTTTTACAGACCTGAATTCATTGTCAGCTCCATCATTCTCTACATGACCTTGTGCATGTGTTTAATTCTATAAGCATTAGTTTTTTTTCATTTTCATTTGATCATTCAATAAATGAACATATACTCTGACATACAACTTGGATATACTATTCTTAATAAGGAACTTTGACCCTGAACTCACTATCTCTTAGCAAACTCTCTACTTGACCTAACTTGGACTTCTCTGAGTCTTCTTGACTAGGCCTTGAACTAAGCATCAACACTACTGCCATTCTACCACTTCACATCTTTGGCCTGCCCAACCCAGTCTTAGCATAAAATCCTGCTAAGTCATTACCGTTGATATATAATCTTTCTTGATATCTGATTAAGTTTTTCACCCCCCAACTCTAATGCTTAAGTCCTTGATCTGCCTTTCACAATTGTCTTGTTGGTCTAGTTTAGTAAAAATCCTCTTGTCCTTGATATTACTTGTTAGTAATTTTTCTTCTACTGATCATTTCACCCTGATCTTGGCTATAAATTCCCACTTGTCTTTGTTTTATTTACTGTTGAGTCCAATCTCTTTCCCCTATTGCAGTAAGGGCATTGCATATACTGTATATACTTTGAATAACACCTTCCTTATCTCTTTAACAAGCATTAAATAATTTTTCTTGAATAAACTTACAGAATAAAATTAATAATGGAACCAGCATCATAAGTTGTGCATTTTATTTTATTTTATTTTTTTTTTAAATATTAAATTTTATTTTTATATTCCCCCATACAATTGCAAACGCCCCATTCTGACCCCAATCCTTCCCCTCCCGCCCCCCACCCCCCAAAAAGTGTCTCTGGTTCATAGTTTTTTGTTGATTTTGATTTTCTTATATTCATTTTCCTGGTCCCTTATTTAAGTTTTCTAGATTCCTGCTATGAGTGAGACCATCCGGTATTTTTCTTTTTCTTTTTGGCTTATTTCGCTGAGCATGATCCCTTCCAGTGCCATCCATGTTGCTGCAAATTGCATGTGTTTATCTTTTTTGAATGCTGAGTAATATTCCATGGTATATATGTACCACATCTTCTTGATCCAGTCATCTATTTTTGGGCATTTGGGTTGTTTCCAAAGCTTAGCTATTGTAAACAGTGCTGCTATAAACATAGGAGTGCAGGTGCTCTTTGGAATTGATGTTTCTGTGTCCTTTGGGTAAATACCTAGGAGTGGAATTGCTGGATCATATGGAAGCTCTATGTTTAGTAGGTCCAGAAATCTCCACACAGCTCTCCATAGTGGTTGGACCAGTTTGCACTCCCACCAACAGTGCACAAGAGTTCCTTTTTCTCCACATCCTCGCCAATAAGTTGTGCATTTTAAATGAGATTGTGTATGTGAAGCTCTTACAGGGTCAGACACATGATAAGCTCTTGATAAATGTTAAAATCAAATGGAGTAATCTATTTGTTCATTAATTATAGATTAATAATAACTCACTGTATTCTCATCTATATTGGCTTTTGAACACAGTCTTTCTGGGGCCACCAGTGTTGGTGAGGCCAACTATTAAGAAAGTTAAGATGTAAACATACATCTGTGCTTCATTAACCAAAAAGTAAAATGATAGCTCACAGTTACATAATCCTACACAAAGTACAGCATCCTTATAAACAGACATTTTGACTCACTCAGTGGATAGAAATAAGTCCCAGAGACAATAAGAAGTTAGGTTGATAGCTGTAAAAATTATGACTGAGTTCTCTGTTGACTCGGATTCATTTTTATGAAATAGTGAGAATGTGAATGAGTGTTAGAGATTTCTATTTCAAGGTTTTAGTTAAAAGAGGGAATTAGGAGTTGACTTGAGGGGAATGAGCATTAGACTATAGAAGGGGCTGTGAAAGATAAAAATTGAGCTTTGGAAATGAGGTAACATAGTTTGGGTACATGTTAAATTAGAATGTAAGTATTGTATAAATCTGGAAAACAGGCTTAAGGCCTAAATATTTTGCTATGGAATAATACATGTGGTAAGCACTCTGCATGTTTTCTCAACTCTCTTAATCTTGACACAAGTATATATTGATATATTTCTGTGTAATATATAATATGTAGTGTAATATAGTATGGTATAATAAGTATAACATTTCCCCAAGGATATGTGTATGCATGTGTGCCCATCTTACCATTTGCTGTGAAGTCATCTTGGAGTGTGGAGGTGAAAATCTTTGAAGGAATAAAAGATATTTATGGTGCTAGGGAAATGAGAAAAAGGTAATGAATTTAAGGAGAAAAATAGAGAAAATTAGAAAAGCAATAAAAAGTCATAGAAAAAAATATGAGGAAGAAAGCAAAATAGGAGAGAAAAGGAAAACAATCTGGCCAAGGAAAAAAAGAAGAGAGAACCAAAAGGACCAAGAAAATAGTGAAACTTTTTTTTTCCCCATAACTCCACATTTCTGGGCCAGTGTTTCTTCTCTTTTGTGCACTTCTGTCCTCTTTCTTCACATCTATGTTTGGTTTGAGAAGATGTGTCAGAAAGACCAAAGACTGAGAAAAATTAGATTACTGGATGTCTTACTATGATTAGCACACTGAAGTCAAGGTTTGTGAGCTGAGTGGTATTTTTTTAATATAATTAAATTTATTTATTTTCTTGTATCTTTGTTCATTTTTGTACAATATTTGATTTCTGCTCTCAGGTGTAGTCCCCATAATTCTCCCCCCACCATGGCACCCATGAACCATCACCATAGTCCCTTGTGGTGAGCTGAGCCTTAACCACTGATTTGAGTTAAGCACTATGAACTGACTAGATATGTGGAGAAATTGTGCATTAGCATTAGGATTAGAGAGATGGAAGCCTAGTTTCATGGCTCAATAGTTATTAACATGGAATTATAGAGCTGAGTTAAGTTTAACACAGCATTTTCCAAGTGAGTGCTACTCCCTGAGTAGGATCGTCCAGCATTCTTGTTACAACAGACTGGTATGCCGGGTAGAGAAGCAACTAGGAGAGAGTCTTTAGAATGGTTAGAAAGTGAATTACTACCCAAACAGGATCTCCATTGCAGATAAATCCTTTTTTTGCCAAAATTATTGCTCTTAAGACTTTTAAAGCCCTAAGATTAAGCTAGATGGTTAAGATATTCAGAAAGTTCACTGGTTAATTTTGACAATATTTACCATAAAATTATAAATATAGCATTTATTTTTTCAAATAAACCTATAGTTATGAAAACATGTCATTCCTAAAAAACCTTATGGTGAATATTAGAGGTATTGTACATATTTTGCTTTTTACTTTATAGGTTTCAATCTTCTAAAGTTACTAGCTAGATAGTAGTTTCCTAAATTTTTTAAATAAACATTCTTTCACTCGATACTTTGAACTCAACAATGAATTGTTAGAATATAGTCATAATGTACATATTTTAATCATAATATACATATTTATATTTGTACATTAGTTTATTTGGGAGAAAGGACTAATGGATCTATTTATGAAGAATGAACAAATATCTGGTTACTTAGGACATTAAAGCAAAACTGTCAATTTAATAAGGTTAAGCAGCTTATTATCTGGATTGCTTGTTTGCTACTAAACGATATTTTTGCCTAATGAAATTGTGATCCTTTGACTAACCCTTTTAACTTTGAAATAGAGCTGTGCTCTTTTGCTTGTATTAAAAAAAAAAAAAGAGCAAAATGGGAGATGAGTCAGCCTCTGAGATGGCTCATTTAGCAGAATCCAGGAAATTTTATGAGAGAGAAAAACAGAGTAGAAAGAAAGAAACGTGTTATTTGTTAATATTTTCTTGGTAAACTTTAATGCCTCTTAAAGGTATGGATGGAAGACAAATTTTAGAGAGGATCTCAAGCAGTTAGGAGTCAGCACCCAGGGTATTCTGTTGAGATGAAAGCAGGAGACCAGCAAGTAAAGAGACAAGAGGAGAAATTATGGAGTATTGTAACAATAAATAGGTAGCAACATCTTTCCTCTCGGATGACTTGTTGCAATGAAGGAGGTTCCCTTTCAAGGAACTATAGGAAAAAACCCTATTACAAAGGATCAGTATGGTCCATGAAATAGTATCTCATGGTAGCTATTAAGGGAAGACTTCAGGAGAAGGTGAGGTATGCAACGGGTGTGTATGTGTATGCACATATGTGGATATTTGTGTGTGTGCCTATGTGGGTATTTGCGTGTGTCCACATTTGTGGGTATATCTATATGTGTGTATACATGTGGACATTTGCATGAGTGTATGGACATGTGCAGATATTTGTATGTGTGTGTGTGCACATGTGTGTGTGCCTGTGTTTCTTGGATCCCGCTTGGGATTCCTTGTACAAACTTTCTCTTGAAGACACAGTTTCCTTTAAAACTGAGATATAATCCCTGATCTAAGAAATAAAACCAAACAGAAGTAAAGATAAACTCTCTGGGGAGAATCTTTTATTGAGGTGCAAAAAGAAGTTAATCAGGCATGAATTTGAGCACAAAAGTTTTCTCTGCTCAACAAAGATGATTGTTCTACCCCAACCAGAACCTCAGCCAAGTTGAGGGTTGAGGGGCGCTTGGAGATGAAGACGATGCTGAGTCCATGGAAAAGTTAACATTTTCCTTCATGAAGAAGCTGAACCTTTCCATTACTTTTCCTGTGGGGAGACACAGTTAGCAAGATTCATGAACACAAGAGCACATCTCATAGACTGAAAGGAACTACAGAGATTATGAGGCAGGACCTCATTTTATAAATGAGGAAACTGAGTCCCCCAAAAGTAGGTCCTGTCACAGGCAATTTCTAGTAGAGATAGTAGCACGCTTTCCTGCCCAGTGATACTTCTCACCCACTCACTGCTTCCACTGCTGCCAGAACCTGGACTGATCACCCAGTGTCTTCAAACAACAAAGAAGGAGGATTTCTGACCAGGGCAGTTGAGGTGGCCTGGCCTTCAGCTTTGCTTGGTCAGGAGAGCCTGTGATGAGGCTCTGCTATAGGGATGGATCCTGCTTTAGGGAGAACTTCCACCACGTGTCCCCTTTGGTGTCCTTGAACATCAACTAGATTCTATCTAGGTCAAGGTCCACATGTGTGAGCATGTAAAATAACCTTTCCTTTTGTGAAATAAAAGTTCCTGCACAGGAATAAATATGTAGACATATCTTTCTGGGCCTTGGGCCTATCTTGATATTTCTAACTTGCTAAAATAATCACTAAATCAAAAAGCCTAACATCTGAGAGCAGTGGCCTAAAAGTGAATTAACAATATGAATGAGAATTTAGTATAAGAAAGGAAGTGCTAAATTGCCAGTCCTGCACCAAAGAAGTGACATCTGTCTCATTAGGGTGTCTTTAAACACACTGTGGGCCAAACAAAATACTTGAGTGAAACATGACATGGGATACTAGTCTGAGAATTGAGAGCTTGCATCCTCCTCTTTTAGATAAAAGTGAAAAATGTGTGGTGATCTTTTCTCCATTATTGCCCTAAGACTGCAGACATCTAGAGCCACTAGGAGATTTAGAAGAGTAAAAAGCTTCTAGCCATAATTTGTCCAAGGATCAAATTGTACGATGGCTGCTAAATCTCTTAGAAGTCATGTAGGATAGTAGTTTTCAATTCGTTTTTGGTGTGGAATTCAGGAACCTTCCTTTAAACAAGATAGTGTATGGAATTTCTCTTAAAAAATAAAAATTGGGGCCGCCCCGGTGGTGCAGCAGATGAGCTCTGGGCTGCGAAGCTGCCTGCAGCCTCTGCAGCACTGGTTCGATCCCCGGCCTCTGGCAAGGGTCCCACATGGCGCGCAGAACTCTCCTGCAGCACCCGCTGCTCCTCTCAGCAGTGTACTTCATCAATCTGCCTGTTCTGCTCCCCACTCTGGCTCTGGTGAATTCTCTCACCCTCTCATGCTTCTGACTGTACCCAGTGCTTGTCTAAATAAATAAATAAATCTTTAAAAAATTAAAAATTGAACTTGGGATGGGAGACCATATCAAATGATTGCTTTAATCCATTTAGTGACTCCTGTCTTGCCCTGTCAGAGCTCTGGGTACAGCAATTTTAAAGATTGTGTCTCACTGCACTCCCTCAGTTGACAGACAGGAATTGGGGGTTCTGTGATGGAGTCCAGGCTGGCAAAGCAGCTGGCCCAACCTTAGTCTCACTGTGAGGAAGTCAATTTTCCATCTCCTCCAACTGCTTCTCAGAATAGGTACAGCTTAGGGAGAGTTAAGCAGGCTCGTGGAAAGAGGAGGTTTGCAGGAAGGACACTGGCCCCAATTCTTTTTCCTTCCCAAGAGCTACTCACAGGTTCTCAATACACAAGTGGCATTCATTTCCGTAGGTGATGTAGTCAGAGCCACATACAGGCAGGTATATGATGGGACAAGGGATGGCCACCACTGGGTACTTCTTATAGATGCTGCAGTCCAACTGTGACACAAAAGAATGTTGCTCTTTTCTCCTGCCCCTCCATGCTCAGATACCATGACCTCTTGGGTAACAAGCAAAAGTGCTAATTCAAATCTTCGATGCTGCTGTGGCCATTTCTATTAGTAATCATATAACCACTACAAATGCTAGTACTACTAGTCCAACTTGTATTATTACTAGTATAATAGTCTGGTATAACTAGTATGCTAGTTATTAACTAGTATATAGTCTAGTATAATGTCTATGCCAGGCATTGAAATTCAATCTTGCATCATTTTTCTTTGTTTAATCTTCAGAACAAATGAATAGGACAGCTCCTTCTATTTATAGGAGGAAATCAAGGCTTAAAAAGAAACAACTTGTATAACACGTTGTCCTCTCCAAGAAGACATCACAGCATCTTGGTTGAAAGTCATTTCTCTCTCCTTTAACTCTGGATTTTTTTTAAACTATGGTCATTTATTTATATGTTATATTTCTTTAACTGCCTTTCATAAAACAGATGCAATTTCTCTATCTGTGTGTGTCTCTCTCTCTCTTTCAGCCCCACCCAAACATACTATGTTAATTCTACATATATATATTTACAAATATTTGTTAAATGTCACTCAATAGGAATTGAAATTAAAATGTAATTCAATATACTCACTGTTTTTAAAGGTAGACTACTAACTTCTGAAAGAGAGATACAGATGGAAATGTTAAAAATTAAGGCAAATCTTGAAATTTCATTAAATAAAATTTCTATAAATTAGGTCCTGTAGGGTGAGACCCTCTGCCACCTCTGTCAGTGGATCTCCACATACATCCTGTCATTAGACAAAACACCAGCTGTTTGCTGAGAATGTCAAATTGGTGGCGTGAGCCTTGGTTCAGGCAAGCGCGTTACCCAAATTTCCCATTTATTGACCACAAGATGTTTTCTGGAGCTTATCATGTTTTTGACAATGTTTCAAAATCAGAGAGCAACAGGAAATTTCACAGTCAGAATGCCTACCATCCTGACGCCCCATATCTGATATTCTCTTCCTCCTTACTGTTATAAAGAAATGGAAGGGGCTGCCTTCAAGATTTTAGCATCTTATTTAAGTAATTTTCTACTATATTAAAGTCTAATTGTTGATTGCTGGCCTTTGGAAAACTGTATTTTACTTTGACCCTCCTGGACTAATTTGGAAAGACATCCAAGTTTTTCTACATCTTTATGAGGACGAATGGTAACTAATAACACTGACAACTCCTGTGTCCTTATGAAATGGCAGACTTAAAAAAAAAAAAAGTTCATTTTTTTGTTCCATGAATGGAAATAAAAATTTTTGAAAAGGACACCACTGGACTGAAGTCCCTCCACTCCCACTGGGACATGCTCTCTCCCTCCCTAGGCCATAGACAGGCTTCTATTACAGACCAAACTGTAAGTTCAGAGCATCAGACATTTCTCTCAAATGCTCACATCTCAGAAACAGTATCTCTGCGGGAAAACAAGTTTAACAGCTGGACAGGACACTGTCTATCCTGAACTCACCTGAGCTGCTGCAGAAATGGGCCACTGTGCAGAGCAGAAGGAAACCCCCGATGAACTTCATGGTGTAGACGGCCCAAGTGCATGGAATGCTCAGGACAGCCACAGCGGACATGCCCTAGAAAAGGACACATTTATATGGCAGTGCTTGGTCTCTCCACCTTCCCTGTGAGCTCATCCACAGGCTCAAAAAGCACAAAGTCACACCCTGGGCGGTGTTGCCAGCCTTGCCACTTTATATTATTCTTATTTGATCAACAGGTTTATTATTTGAGGTGAGAAGTATTTTTCTGTTGGAGGTGAGCCCTGTTACTTGAACTTCTAAACTTCATAAAGCAGAGAAGAAATTAGGGCTGTTCAGTATAGTTATGAAATAAGTGAGATTTGTAAACTTCTTCAATCTCACCAAAATAGATGGCAATAAACCCAAGTTCAACAGACTGTACCTGTTTTATATTTGTTTATATTTTGGCTCCTAGTGAAATATGGCTTTGTTTTTGAGGAAATAAACCTTTGAAGCAAGATGGGACTTACAGGAAGGAACGGAGAAGAGTATTGACATTTTTCAGCTCTATGATCTTGGGTTTATTTATATGCTGTGAGCCTGAATTGGTCAGGAAGATCTGGTTATGTTGTGGTTACATTTAACCTCAAGATTCCTGTGACTCAAAGCAATAAAAATTTATATGCCACATCTTGTCTTTTCTAGCCAGTCATCTCTCAGTGGGTTCTTGTTTCCATAGCTTGGCTATTGTAAACAGTGCTGCAGTGAGCATGAGGTACATGTAACTTTTTGATTTAGTGTTTTCATATTCTTTGGATAGATATCTAGAAGTAGAACTGTTCATATGATGGATATATTTTTAATATTTTGAAGAACTTCCATACCGTTTTATATGAAGCCTGCATCAATTTATATATCTGCCAACTGGGTGGGAGGGGTGCCTTTTATCTCCACAGTCACCAACACTTAATGTTTCCAGTTTTTTTGATATAGACCATTCTCACAGGTATGAGGTGGTCTCTCGTGGTTTTAATTTGCACTTCCCTGCCAATAAGTGATGATGGCCCATGTGTCAGTGGCTGTATGTGTTCTACTCAGTTATTTTTTTTAAAAAAAGGATGAAATTTCACCATTTTTGACAACATGGAAGGAATTGGAGGGGATTATGCTAAGTGAAATAAGTCAGAAGGAGAAAGACAAATGATAAAAACCAGATGGTTTTATTACTCATGTGGTATATAAAGAAACAAAGTTGACAGTCAAAACAAACCCTTGAATTTTGACTGCAGAATGGAGGCTACCAGAGGGCCAGGAGGAGTGGGAGTAGACGGTCAAGGGGTGTCTGGACTGTGGTGGAGGGTTAATAATGTGTTGGTGGTGGGTGTAGTGTGGTGTCACACATTTGACAAAGCATGAATCTGTGCTCCTAAAACATGCAGTGTTGTAAGTCAAGGGTGCCTCGATAAAGGACAAATAAACAAGTTAATTAGTTAATGAAAATAAATAAAAAATATACAAATTTATTTCTTGCTCAAGGTCTATGTGCGTGGGGGTCACTGATGGTGCCGCATTGCCCTCACTCAATCCCAGAAGACACTATTTGGAATAGTGTTTATTGTCAAGGTGAAGTGGTCATGTGTTTCTGAGAATCTCCCTTTTCACTAATTAAATACTCCAGCCCAGAAGCAGCACCATTGTCATTTTCCCTCACTGTCATGTGACCTGGCACAAATTGAAAGGATATGGAATACATTTCTGCCTTATCTTTTGAAGACCAGAAGGCAAAGAACTTGCAGCAGTTGGTAAACAATACAAAGACCACCCCAGAACCTTTATTTTATCCCTGATGAGATCTGCTGTTAGTCACAGTAGAATTCATATACTTGATCCCTGCCAGCGCCATCCATGTTGCTGCAAATGGCATGTGTTTATCTTTTTTGAATGCTGAGTAATATTCCATGGTGTATATGTACCACATCTTCTTGATCCAGTCAGCGAAATAAGCCAGAAAGAAAAAGAAAAATACCGGATGGTCTCACTCATAGCAAGAATCTAGAAAACTTAAATAAGGGACCAGGAAAATGAATAACTATAAGAAAGTGAAGATCAAAATCAACAAAAACTATGAACCAGAGACACTCTATGAAGGGTGGGGAGCGGGGAGGGGAGGGATTGGGGTCAAAATTAGGGGGTTGCAATAGTACAGGGAATATAAAAATGAAATTTATTTAAAAAATTAAAAAAAAGAATTCATATACTTTGAGTTATTTTTATGAAAGTCTGTTCTCAAAGTGCAATGCGTGTAGTTATTATTATTGTTATTATTATTGACAAGCTAAGAGTTTCTGTTATGGGTGCTGTCCTTAGCTTGCAAAATGTATTGTCCAAATACAGTTTTCCAAATTGCTGTTGCTTGTCTGCTGGATTTAAGGACAAAAGTATGAAAACTTGTCCTTACATGTCATGTTTATTTTTACATTCTGAAACACAGCATCAACAAAAGATGCCAAACTAATGATATGGGATTGCATGTTTCAACTCTTACATTTGTTTGTAAAGCAATATAATCTAGTAGCTAAGCATATGAGTATTGAATCCATGAATCTTATTTGAAATCTTTCTTCCAATCCACATTGACTATGTGACTTTGAGTATATAGGTTAAACTCTACATATTTTAGTTTCTGCATCTGAAACATAGAAATAATTACTCACAGAGTAGAGTGTTAAATGAATTTATGCATATTTTATATTACATTATAATGTTAACTTTATATGTCATATATTTGCATGTTTGCATGTGTATCAAAATGCCAAGATCATAATTAGAGTTTGATTTAAAGTAGCTAGTGATATAGAATGGGATTTCATGACAGCTCAGTGAGGAAGGAATTTTTATTACTCCAATTTACCCCAATTTCATTGATGAGTAAGTTCCAACTCACAGAATTTAGTAATATTCCCAAAATTATGATGCCAATGAATGGAGGCAACTATTGTCAAGGTGAAGTGATCCTGTGTTAAGTCATGGAAAAGAAGACAAGTGAGTGTTCTCATAAAGAAAGTTAATTATAAAAATTTCATTGTTTGCCATGAAAGTTTGAAGAGAATAAACACTGATAAAAAGTGATTATGTTTCAAGAAGCAGCATCTATGTTGTAGTTTGAAAGTGCTATTTTCACAAAGAAGAGTGGTCAATGAAGTGATAAGATGAAGTAGAATAGGATTACACATTTCTTTAAATGTTTGAGTGGAGGACAATGGAAGAAGCTAAGCCTTCAGCAATATCTAGAATAGACTGAATATTTTTTAAAGTCAAGCAGAAGAAAAAGACAAAGATGATACATGGTAGAGGGTGGCTGATCAAAGAAGCGTAGGAAATAAGATTAGGAGACAAGATGAAACACCATTCCCTCTGACACAGGGGTTGGGAAGGGCAGATAAATGTGGAGACAGGGATATTGTGAAATGAAAGGATGTCTCTGGCTATTGTGTTGTGGGGTTACCTTTTGTAGTGGAAGAATTGGGTCGGTTTGGAAGGTGGATAAGATTTGGCACAGGCCACAGTAGAGCAGGTCCAACAGACAATGGTGGACATAAAAATGCTCACTAGACAAAATTAGCATGGGGTTTGAGAAAGTCCAATCAGTACTATGCTGAGTGTTTCTTCCAAATACATTATGACACTGAGCAAGAGATGGAAAAAAGGTGATTTTATGGATAGAGCTTGGGTACATCAGAGACTTGTAGGGGACCAAAAAGACTATGTTAGACTTGGGAGAGAGTCAAGTGGTCCAGAAGGTTCTGACAGACTATGTACAGTGTCAACAATTATGACTTTAGAGGTCAAGGTTCAGACAAAACATTGACTTAATAAGTGTGGGAAATATGAGCAATTGTTTATGAGGGCTGTGCCTAGTAAGTAAAGGGCCATACTTCATTTCTCAGGGGTGGAGTTGAGATAATGAAACCAAGAGGTATCCAAAGATAAGTAGATGAAAGATGGGAAGAGACAGAAGTCTGTAGATTCAGAAATATGAGGAAAAGCGAGGTCAGGGGATCAGGTGTGGGCTGCTTTGGGTTTTTGGCAGATGCTTATGGGCTGCATACTGACTCACAAATTATGGAAAGTCCTTTGGGAATGAAAGATGAAGCCTGTGAAGATAAAATGGTTGATCTTAGGCTTTAATTTAGAGCAATTGCTTGTTCCTGCAATGGTGGGGGGGGGGGAAGCGGGGGAGTCTTAATCCATGCCAGAGGATTACTATGACTACGTTACACTCTAGGAAAGTGAGGGTAGAATTATTGCAGGAATCCAAAAATGAAATGAGAGAAAAGTTTGAGAGTATTTGGATGTCTTTTCCAAAGGAATTGGGGTGCTACAGGAAAGAGAAGGGGGGCCCATTGGAAGGTTAGAACAGAGCGAGAGAATAAGTTGAAGGAGGGTCTTAACGAAGTCAGGTAGATGGAGGGAAATGGCAAGACTGGCAGCTCAGATGGGCAGTCTGTAGACACAGATAAGGGTGGGAGGATGGAAAAGTCATAATCGGAAAACTAACCAATATTAAGCACCAGCTATGTGCTAGAACTGTGCCATACCTGCTATGTACGTGATCTCATTTAAAACTAAGTAAATGAAAATTTAAACTATAAAATTAGTGGTTATCAGAATTGAAGGTGGAAAGGGGGAGGATAAATCCAGTAAAAAGGGGTCAGTTAAGAGATGGAATTGGACTTTTATTGGTAAACTTGATATGGTATACACAGATGTTGATTTATAATCATACATATCCAAAACTTATGTAATAATATAATACAATATTAATTCACTAAAAATTAGTGAAAAAAGATATTAACTTAAAAATAAAATAAATCTTTAAAGAAAGACATCATAAGCTTATGAGGTAGATATTCGTTCTCTCTCCTGTTATATAGCTGAGGCAACAGGAACTTAGAGAAGTGGTTAGTTTAAGAATCAGGTGATTGCACCTGAAGGGGAAGATCTTCTACTTCCAAAATATTAGCAACAATGTAAGCCAGTGGTACTTCAGTAAAAAAAAAATAAAAATTAAAAAGATAAATATAAACCTAACAGATTTCTAGACACCATAG